CAGGCCCCCCCCCCCCGGGGACGACCTCTTTCCGGGGGGCTGACCCTGCTCGGCTCCCGAACACCGAGGAGAGGGGGCGCCGCCAGGTCGGGGCGGCAGAAGCCATCGAGGCATCCACCGGTCCTCGGGGCTCCCTGACGGCCGGGAGGTCTCCGCAGAGCGGAACTAGTGGCGGAAAAGCCCCCCCGCGACGGGCCTCGCTCAATGCTCCCTCCCAGCTGTGGAGTCCTCTGAGCAGAAATGGTACTTGGCGAGCCCCTGCGGGCATGAGAGTCCTGCGCGAGGGATGGGGCTGCTGCGTGAACGAGGTTGCTCCGGAGCCCTCCTCCCTCGCTAGCAGACGGGCCCCTCCGCCGTGTGAACCACCCCACGGGGGGGGGGCAGGGCCGGCGACCCCCCCAGCCGGCGACTAAGCCGCTCTCCACCCACTCGGTCGGAGGGGCGGGGCTCGCCTGGGACGGGACTTGGGGCCCCCGACGAAGGACTCCCGCCAATCATGGGGCGGGGAGATCCGCGCAGACAGAGGCGGGCACCTGGCAGAGCTTAGCCAATAGCGGAGACAGGGGCGTGGCCAAGAGCCAAGGGCGGGCATTTCCCAGAATGGGGGCCTGGCGGCGGCTGAGGCCAAGAGCCCCCCCTCCCCCCGCGGAGGGCGAGGAGCCGACTCCGCAGGGAGGAGGGGAGGGGGTGCCCGGCTGCCGTGAGAGCCCGCGGGTCGGGCGCCGCCTCGAACGCCTGTCCTGCCACGGCGCTTGCGGGCCTCCTCGTGCCAGCCGTCCCACCTGGCAGGGCCGTTGTGAGGATCAAAAGGGCGGCGGGGGCGGGGCCTCCAGGCGAAACTCCCTCCCTCGGCGCCCAAGGGCCGCTCCAGGCTCCTTCAGGGCAGGGCTCCCGCCGCCGGCCAAAGAAAGGCCCCGGAGGCGGCGGAGCGCTGTGCCCGTGGCCGGCCCTTGCGCGGTCCCAGCTTTGTGCAGCAGCTGAAGGACGGCGCCGGGGAAGCCCGAGAGCGTTCGGTCCCGGGCGCCCCCCCCCCCCCGGGGGGGGGGCTCTAC